TGTATCTTTAATTTTTCAGTTGAAAATACATATATCATCATGAGCAGTGGTTTTTTCACTGATCAAATTGTTCCTCACCTCCATGTTTAGAGCAGAATTAACGCAATCATTTATACCTAGAATTTCGACAAATTGGAGATGAATTTAGAGTGAAATTAGTGATGTGAAAAAACGAGAATGACAAATATATACCGAGTGTGTTCGAAAACTCTTTTCTTTTCCTTTAAAAAAAAAATAAAAAAAAATTCATAGCATATTGCTTACAAAATCTTTTACTTTATTTTCAATGTTAAAGGTCAAACAAAGAATCACAAAGTAACTTAAAAAGTATGGTATAAAGTTATTTTCACTCTACAATTTGTCAGTCTTACTTCGTTGTCTCCTTTCATTAATTAGATAGGTTAGATTAAAAAAAAAAATGATATTCAACATTGGTATTCCATTTATATCTAGAAAGAAGAAAGTCTTCTTTTATCTAATTAAGATATTCAATTTTACCTTCTTTTTTTTTATCATTACCTACCACCAAAATTGATTTATTAAATTTTTTTTATTGATGCATTTTTTGTTCACTAATTTATTCTACATTTGAGATACGATTATTTTTTGTTGAAACAAAAATGATAAAATTTAACTCTTTCTAGCAAATATGACTTCTGAATTTTAATCCTATAAATTAATAAAAAATTTATCTTGAGTTCAACTCGCTTATCTTTGGGCCAACAGTTTGTTGGTATATAGTATGCATTTTTTTTGTTCAAGAATTTCTGGTGTTTTTAAATGTTATTCACCAATAAAATATTTATTTCAAAAATTACAATAAAGTAATTAAAATTTTTTAAAAATTCAATTTTTTTCATATATTTCTTGTTTTTTAAATCTGAATTAAGTTTAAATTTTAATAATTAGAAAGTAATATTTCAATAAAATTATTATGTCAAAATAAGACACTCCTTAGTTTTATATATACTTATCAAGTTGCAAAACTATTTTTTATTGCAAATTATTTAAATTTAACCTTAGTATTATAATATATATATATGTGTGTTTTTCCTCTACGTAACCATAAACCAATTAAGGAGTTATGCTATTTTTATATAACGGATTTACCGAATAAACTTTCCAAATAATAAATGATGCGATTTACAATATGCTAATATCATGTGACCACTTAATATTACGTCATTTACATCATTTTAAGTAGCGTGATATTAACATATTGTAAGCCACATCATCCAAAAAGTTGTTCGATAAATTTATTATGCAAAAATAGCATTATTCACAACCAATTACTTATTACTCATGCCCAATTAGTTATTATATCTAAAAATCAATTTAGATTAAAAGTCGTCGATAGCAAATACTTTCTATCATATATTGAAAAGTTGCTTAAGATGCCGATTTAAAAATTCAAAAGATAGTTTATACATAACCTTTTGAAACGTGTGTTTATGCATCATAATAACATCTTTATGTCAAATTATTTACTTACTGTAAGTGTTCCATTCTCCATGAACATGATGGGGTTAATTCCCTCCATTAATATATTGCAAAGAGAGATTTTCTTTTTCACCTTTTGTTTACGTATGGGGTCTCATGTTGTTCCCTATTCCTTTTAGCCATATACTATCGTTTCTTTTCCACCATTTATGCAAAAGGATTATTTGAACACCCATATATTGTGGACCCTTCCTACTTATGAAAATACGTAAATAAATAAAATCATAACAACATTAAGACCTCGGTGTTTGATTCGAATAAATATTATAGAAATTACAGAGAGATATAATTATGGATACAATAATTTATGTTTAATTCAAAAGTGAACTCCTGTATCTAAAAAATAAAATTCTAAAATGATTATACAATGCAGGTTTCATGGTATCATCCATCACAAGCCGGTTCTATGGTATATTTTGCTTCTCTAGTCATGATGTTTTATGAATTTGTCGTTTTACAAATTTTTTATGCTATAATTTGAATTTGTTTCTTTAATATTCAAATTTGGATTTTTTTTTAATGCTTTTTTTTAATCTTCCTATATAATTCTTTTGGTGGATGATACATATAACTTTTATAAATGAAACCCAATTCAACATAACTAGATAGAAAAACAAGAACGTTTAATGAAACTTATAGTAGAAGAAAAATCGGGATCCATTCATATTTCTTTAGTTACTTATATAGGAATATGATCGATCATATTTTAAAACTCGCAATTAATTTTGATTTTAATTATTTGAATTAGATAAAAATAACATAAAATAATAAAGAATTAAGTTATTACCATTTTTATCATCTAGTAAATCATGTCGATTTAATTTAAATTTAATTATTTAGATTTAACGAACATAACGGTCATGAGAGGATCCCAATCAAAAAAGAGTAAAAATCATAAGAAAAATTTATACAATGCCAAAATCCCTTAAAAAAAAAAAAAAACATATATTAACATACCATAAACAAGAAACTTTTTCAATACATCCTAGCATTACAAGACATGCAATCCTAAGGGATGACATACTACTTTCACCCCCCCCCCACCCCAAAAAAAAATTGTTACTTTTTATTTTTATTTGTTATAAAATGATTATTTGTTCAAAATATCAAATTTTTTAATTTTTTACGTTACTCCTAATTAAAATCAACATATTAAAAAAAACTACAAATAAAAAAATTATGCATCAAAATTGATGATATGTAACGTATCAATTAACGATTTTCTTGATCTATCTACTATATGCATGGAAGAGAGAGTTTTTTTTTTTTTTTTTGAAATACTCTTGTAGATAGTTTAAATATTTTGCGAAAGAGTCATTCCTAATAGCATATAAACTTAACCACACCTCTAATTAAAAGAAGAAGAAAAAAAAACAAATTGAATAATTTTAATAAATATTAACACCTCCAAAAACATGTCCATACAATCATAACAACGTTAACACCTCTTAATCAACGTTAACACCTCTTAATAACGGTGTTTATTCTAATAAATATTATAGAAATTACATAGAGATATAACTATGGATACACTAATTGTTTAATTTAAAAGTGAACTCCTACATCTAAAAGATAAATTTCTAAAAAATGATTATACAATGTAGGTTTCACAATGGTACAATGCATCACAAGACGATTCTATGGTATATTTTGTTTCTACAATCATGATTTTCTATGAATTTGTCATTGTACAATTTTTTATGGTATAATTTGAATTTGTTTCTTTAATATTCAAATTAGAATTTTTTGATTTTTTTTAATTTCTTATATAATTCTTTTGGTGGATGATACATGTATCTTCTCACCATAATTAGAGAGAAAAACAAGACCTTTAGTAAAATTTACTATAGAAGAGAGATCGAGATCCATTCATATTTCTTTAGGAACTTGGGAATATGATCGATCATGTTTTAAAACTCACAATTAATTTTCATTTCAACTATTTGTATTAGATAAGAAAAATAAAGAGTTAAATTATTATTATTTTTATCATCAACTAAATCATGTTTAGCTTAAATTTAACGAACATAACGATCATGAGAGTATTCCAATCAATAAAAGAGTAGAAAATTTGTACAATGCAAAAATCCCTAAAATAAAGAAAACATTTATCAACGGATCACAAACAAAAAATTTTCTAATATATGGTAGCATTACAAGACATGCAATCCTAAGCAATGACATACTATTTTCGTCCTAAGAAGATTGTGGCTTTTTATTTTTATTTGTTATAAAATAATTATTTTCTCAAAATATCAAATCGTTTTTTTTTAAATACTCCTAGTTAAAACCATGTTTTTTTTTTAATAAAAAAACCTACGAATGAAAATTAAATATTTTTTAAAAATTTATAAATAAAAAATATGATGTATAACATATCAATTAACGAATTTCTTGATCTATCTGCTATGTGAATGGAGGAGAGAGTTTTTTTTTTTTTAAATACTCTTGTAGTCTTGTAGATGGTCTAAATATTCCTGTAGATAGTCTAAATATTTTGCAAAAGAGTCAATCATATGTTACACAAAATACTATGGCGTTTGATGGTCTTTTTAGAAAGCTGTGGTTGGCAGTCAAAGTTGGGAGCTTGTAACTGCCTGAATATAAGGAGGGTATGAACAAAAGCAAGTGAATTGTGGATGTGGTGATGATTAGGACCAACACAAGTAGAACTGTACAAGTAGTTGAGTCATCCAAATGTGGACCCACCCCCTCCATAATCCCAAGAGATTTTGCAGATCTAATCCTCCAGTAGCCGACATCACCGGAGCTTCCTTCCTGCATAAGCCCCAGTAAATCCTTTGGGGCCCACATGTTTATTATTATAATAATATTAAAGTACTAGTTTTATTGTTAATTACAATTCTTGCGACGAGACAAATTGCTTTGCCTGCCCTTTTAGCGCATGCAAATGGATCCTGTGATTACACCTTGCCTTATCTGTGTTAATCCTGAGCTGCCACCGCGTGAGGATAAAATCGTCATTTCCTTAGTAACAGAAATAAAGTTGTCATTTTCTTTAGTGACTGAAAACATTGGCATATTGGCAAGAAAATAATTTCATTTGTTATTAATTATTCCTCTTATTGCGTAAATAAGAAATGAGAAAGGATGGGGGAGACAGACAGTCATGGTAGTGGACTGCCAGACTTTTTAGGGTTTGATTGTTCAAAGATTTTTTTTTTTTTTAAAAAAAAACCCCTGAAGTAGTCGGTGATAATCTACATGTAATTGTCTCTGTCTCAACCTGTTTTGGTCACAATTTTCTCTTCTGGGTCTTCTTCATTCTGCTTCAAAACTCATCTTTTCCAACCTCCATTTCTTGTTCTCTTCAAAAACTCTGAGATAAATCTCATTTCCTGCATCTGGGTCTTGTTTTCTACATCCTTTTATGGTCATTGACCTGTGAAAGACTTAGTTTTTCGGTGGGATTTTAAGGTACATTGGGAGGAGTAGTTTCATTCTTTTAGTATGGTGATTTGATAATGGGAGGGAAAAGAATGAAGCTTTGCAACATTTTATTGTTTTTGTTGTTGGGTTTTGTCACACTGGGTTATAGTTTTACAGATCCTAATGACCTTAAGATCTTGTTAGATTTCAAGAATGGGTTGGAGAATCCGGAGCTTCTCAAATGGCCAGCCAAGGGTAATGATCCTTGTGGCCCTCCTTTATGGCCTCATGTTTTCTGTTCTAATGGCAGAGTCACACAAATTCAGGTCCAAAATATGGGTCTTAAAGGACCCCTGCCTCAAAATTTTAACCAGCTCTCAAAGCTTTACAATATAGGCCTTCAAAGAAACAAGTTTTCTGGAAGACTTCCCACCTTTAAAGGATTATCTGAATTGGTATATGCTTTCTTGAATTCCAATAATTTTGACACAATACCATCCGATTTCTTTGAGGGACTTAGTAACATAACGGTTTTGGCTTTGGATGGCAATCCTCTTAATGAGAGTACCGGTTGGTCTCTGCCCAGTGTGTTAGCAAACTCTGTTCAGTTGACAAATTTTTCAGTGTCTTCATGCAATTTGGCTGGTCCATTGCCTAATTTTCTAGGCAGCATGCCATCTCTTACTAATCTACAACTTTCTTACAATAGATTGTCTGGTGAAATTCCTGCGAGTTTTGGGCAATCTTTGATGTCAATTTTGCTTCTGAATAATCAAGAAGGAGGCGGCATGAGTGGTCCAATTGATGTTATTGCAAACATGACATCATTGTCACAACTATGGCTTCATGGGAATTCGTTCAATGGAACAATACCTGAGAAAATTGGAGATTTGTCTTTGTTGAGAGATCTCAATCTCAACGGAAACAAACTTGTTGGTTACGTTCCTCAGAGCTTGGCAGATATGCAGCTGGATAGTTTGGATTTGAACAATAATCAGCTGATGGGTCCAGTGCCAAAGTTCAAGGCTGGTAAGGTTTCTTATGAATCCAATCCGTTTTGTCAATCTAAACCTGGAGTAGAATGTGCCCCGGAAGTTTATGCGCTTATAGATTTTCTTAGCGGTTTGAATTATCCTTCTCATCTTGCTCCTCAGTGGTCTGGTAATGATCCATGTCAAGGGCCATGGTTGGGATTGAATTGTGATTCTAATTCAAAAGTTTCTGTTATAAATCTGCCTAGACGTAATCTTACTGGCACTCTTAGTCCTTCAATTGCAAAACTAGATTCACTGGTTCAAATTGGTGTTGAAGGCAACGATATAAAGGGCACAGTTCCTAGCAATCTGACTGGCTTGAACTCTTTGAGATTGTTGGATGTCAGTGAAAACGATATTGGTCCACCTTTGCCCAAGTTTCGGAATAGTGTGAAGCTTCTTGTTGATGGAAATCCTCTTCTGGTTGGTGGGAATCAGAGTAAGCAGTCCCCTGCCCCTGCTAGCAGCCCACCCCCTGTGAGTTTAACTCCACCAAAGAATGCTCCACCAGGCAGTGCACAGCCTCCGCCATCCACTATGCCTTCTAGTCCACCTTCTCCAGTCTCGAGCTCAAAGACAAATCGCTCTGCTTCTGTAGAAGTTCCAGTCCGACCTAAAAGAAATAATTTTGGAGGGACCAGACTAGTAATGGTGGGTGGAATTTTAGCTGGCTCATTTTTGGCTGTTGCGTTGATTGCTTTGTCTCTATATTGTTGCTTTAAGAAGAGAAAAGAGAAATCAGATTCTCCTGGTTCCGTTGTGGTTCACCCTAGAGATCCGTCTGATCCAGAAAATATTGTCAAGATTGCAGTTTCCAACAACACCACTGGAAACTTGTCCACTCAAACTGGAACTAGTTCTGTTGGTAATGCTAGTAGTCTGACAGAAAATTCTCATGTGTTTGAGTCTGGAAGTGTGATTGTATCTGTTCAAGTTCTTCGCAAGGTGACAGATAATTTTGCCCAAAAAAATGAGCTTGGCTCTGGTGGATTTGGCACTGTCTACAAGGGTGAATTGGAAGATGGGACAAAAATAGCAGTCAAGAGAATGGAGACCGGGGTGGTGAGCGGTAAAGCTGTGGATGAATTTCAGGCTGAGATTGATGTTCTGTCTAAAGTTCGGCATCGGCATCTGGTTTCTCTCCTAGGGTATGCTATTGAAGGCAATGAAAGACTTCTTGTCTACGAATATATGCCTCAAGGTGCTTTAAGCATGCATCTTTTTCATTGGAAGAAACTGAACTTGGAACCTCTATCTTGGACGAGAAGGTTGAGTATTGCATTGGATGTTGCTAGGGGGATGGAATATCTTCACAATCTGGCCCGAGAAACATTTATTCACCGAGATCTCAAATCTTCTAACATTCTTCTAGGCAATGACTTTCATGCAAAGGTTTCTGATTTTGGCTTGGTGAAACTTGCTCCGGATGGAGAAAAGTCTGTTGTGACAAGGCTTGCTGGAACCTTTGGTTACCTTGCACCTGAATATGCTGGTAAGTGTTTTCCAAATTCCCTTTTCAAATTCTTTCTTGGCATTGAACAAGGATTATTTTGAACGAGAGAGAGGCTATTTGGCTGACACTATGGAGTGTTGCAGGGTTGAGTAAGATTTTGATGGTTTTCCTATAGTGCCATATTTGTTCAACAGATATAAAGACCTAGCTAAAACATCTACTTTGAAATACCCAGAGCTATTTCTTTTTGCTCATTTCCAACTATTTGGCTATGATGCAGTTGTGAACAAGTTTGTTTCCAGCTCATCACAATGGTTATTTATATTCTACTTAATGTAATAAGCTTATTCAATCCTGTTATCAATAAGAAGACGATAATAATGTTAATGACTTGTCGAAGAGAAACATGTTTTGCACAATCATTATATTCAGAGTAACATGTTTCCCTCCTTTTGCATGTGCCAAACATTCAGTTTGTTGCCTTGATCTTTATAAAACATTTTTAATTGAATTTCCCATTAAAATCTTTTTCTCTTGAAGATGTGATAGTAATGCATTTATTTTTAATTTCTCCTGTGGTGATTGATAACTTTGATATCATCTTCATTCATCAAAAAGCATCCACATGGAACCACATTAATATATATGGATTGATCAAATAGTTCTTGAACAATTTTATGGCTGAAAGTAAAAATCACAAGCATGTGTGATCTTTGTATATCCTCCTTTAGTCTAGGCTGTAGACTTGTTTGAGAAATTTGCAGAACATTGATCTATAGTCATTAGGATGTGATTGGTGGTTTTTTTGGTATTCAATTTCCAAGATAACGTGAACAATTGAAATGATGAATTGAATGCAGCACTTACTGTACTTTTTTCGCTCACAGTTATGGGGAAGATAACAACCAAAGCTGATGTGTTCAGCTATGGAGTGGTGTTGATGGAACTTTTGACTGGGTTAACAGCCCTTGGTGAGGACCGCTCTGAGGAAAGCCGATACTTGGCTGAGTGGTTTTGGCGAATCAAATCAAGCAGAGAGAAGCTTATGGCTGCCATTGACCCTGTTCTTGTTGCCAATGAAGAGACTTTTGAGAGCATCTCCACCATAGCTGAATTGGCTGGGCATTGCACTTCGAGGGAGCCAAGCCATCGACCTGATATGGGTCATGCAGTGAATGTGTTGGCACCACTTGTTGAGAAATGGAAACCAGTTAATGATGAAACCAAGGACTTATATGGCATCAACTACAGCCTGCCACTGCCCGAGATGTTAAGAGTTTGGCAGGATACAGAAGGCACTGGGCTAAGTTATACCAGTCTTAACGACAGCAAGAGTAGTATTCCAGCAAGACCAAATGGGTTTGCTGACTCCTTCACATCTGCTGATGGTCGATAAATGAAGTTAGCTTCTAAACATTGAACTAGAGCTCTATAGTTTTTATCAAGTTGGTGTCAGTTTTTTCTATTTTGTGCCATGCTTAATAGCATCAAGCATTTTCTTTAGGTTATTTCACACAGTAAATACAAGTTTATAAGGAAACGACACCACACAAAGAGAGTCCGAAATTTGTTTCTTTTGCCGTGATAACTGTTTCACGGTGTAGATAAACGTTATTCACTTCTGCACTTTGGTATTCTTTAATACAGAACTTGCTTGTTATTTGTTATGTTTGCAAAGAATTATTGTCTTTTGGAATTTAAGTTCCTTGATTCATGTCATTGTTGCCTCTTCTTGATTATCTAAGATAATACAGTGCATTTATATGTTAATTTCACTGCCTAAGTGCCTCCATTTGCTGACAGAAATTCGAAAGGAACCTTATGAGATGACTATTGCTACTTGCTATCCATTAACCATGTCATTGTGGCCGATAACCCTTCACATGGCTGCCTGTCTTCGAAAAAACATCTTGTGTGTTTTCGGCTACACATTTGGAAGATTTGTATGTCTTGGCTTGTCTCTGCAACTCTTACCTACCAAAGGACTGCAAATTTTGGACTGAGATTGAAGCATTCTGAAAAACGTTAATGTTATGATAGGTTTTAGCAAATTCAGAAACCTGCAGCAGTGGGACAGACTATCAAACTAATTCTTCCAACTGTTCCATTTCTTTTGCAATTAATTACCTATTGATTATTCATGTGTAGCTGTCTCCTTGTTAAGCTTCTCTTTCAAAGGAATGTTCTAATTTGTTTGGAACTTCTGGTTCTTCATTTCACACCCTTGAAACTTTTGTTTCCATCCAAGAATGATTGATGTACTGAATTTATTTCCTATAACCTTGATTCCCTTATGAACGTACGACATGATTTAATTGTTGGATTTTTAATTAAAAAAAATGATTGTTAAAAAATAAGACTCCACGGTATACTATGGATGGAAATCCGAAAAAACTCCAGTGTGCAATATAGACATTTTCAATGACTACTTTCATACCATATTGTAGTTCTCACATCATGACATGTCAATACCAAACAAGTCCAATTTTTTTTTTTCTAATGGTATTTCAACTTTAAGGAATAAAAATGACAAAATCTATTTATGTATCTTGTTTTTATAAATTCATCAAATAAGTCATTATATTTTCAATTTGATCAATTCAACATGTGTATTTCTAACGTCCATCTAATATTTATACTCGATTGATTACATATATTATTTAGATGGTGTATAAAAATTATTAATGTTGAGAAATCATGTTTAATTGATTAAAATTAGAAATATACATGCTAAATTGATTAAATTAAAAACACAATAGCTTCATCAATGAATTTGTGAAAATACACGGTGCAATTAAATAGGTTTTGCCAAAAAAAAAAAAATCTCCCAAGGATTTGTTGAAGACAAGTTTAATGAGAATTCAAGTGTTAGGTATGATATTTTGAAAAATGATCTGTTAGAGATGATAAATCATGTCATGTCATGTGTCTTGTCCTTTTTTTTTTTTTTTTCCTTAAAAATTGTTGCCACTTTGGTTGAGATTTCAAGTATCACTGTAATGGTAGGTATGATATTTTGAAAAAATTTCCGTTAGAAAATGGTAAGCCGTGTCATATTATGTGTCTTGTCACCTTTTTGGTTTTTTCTTCCTCTTGAATTGTCGCCATTTTGGACCCATGATGCTAACAGAATTTAAATACCATCCAACTAGAATGGCTGGTGAGACTCAAATCCAAGTTACGCTAGTCTAGAAGGTAAATTATAAATTATTCCTTTTATTTTTTCAATACGAACTAAATACTTCCTTTAATTTTAAAAAAGAATCAATTAGGTTTTATATTTTTAAATCTACTTGTAACTTAATTTTTTTATTATTTATTTTATTTCAGAAGATAAAAAATACAAAATTAATTAAAAAAAACATAAAAAGTGATGAGAAAAAACCATTTTAAAGAAAATAATCTTAAATTAATGCTGATTAATTAATTAATTAATTTTTAAAATAAAAAAAATTGTTTCACTCGTTTTGCAAAAATAGAAGAACTAGGGTCTCTATGGGTCGTATCCGGGTCGAGTAGCTTGCAATCAGTTTTGCTTCATTTCTCAATCCGAACCTGCTATAGTTAGTTTATCTTAATCCAAAAATTACTTAACCCACCCACCATTCATGCATATAGAGTGTCAAGTTGGAATTATCTGATATTGTGGTTAATTGATTCTTTAATACCACCGAAGCTTGAGCGGTTTTCTTGTTGAAAAACAAATGTCCTTCTCATTTTTTTTAAAGTCTTATAATAATTAAAAGAATAAATAATAAACTAACATGACAAAGGTTCGATATTGATGAAAATGGCAGGGTCCACATCGTTAATTTCTTTTCTTTCATTCTTTTTCGACGATGGGGTTTTTTTTGGTTAAGTAGCATTGAAATAAGCGATTTTGTTGCAAAATAAATAGGGATGATTACTAAAAAACCTTATAAAAAAATTATTTATCTAAAAAATTTATAAATTTATTTTTAAATCTCTCAAACCTAAAATAATATTTTTTTTACCAAAAACACATAATAATTAACTCTAGTGTTAGCTTTTGATTATTTTGATAAGAAAAATATTGTTTTAAGCTTATGAGATTAAAAAATATTATTTTATGTTTGGGAGATATAAAAATAAAATAGCGAATTTTTTAGATTGAAAATTTTTTAGAAGGTATTTTGATAATTATCCATGATTTAAATGAAATCATTATCTTTCAAAATATGTATTTCTATCATGGTTGATCATGTTTATTTAATTAATACACTAAAATATGTTATACATTTATCTCGTAATTTAATTTAATTGTTTGATAAAAAAACGTTGAGTTTTGATTAATTAAAAACTAGTATTACCGATGATGTTTTTTTTCTATCAATATATTAGGATTTAAGAAATCACTACTCGTTCATAATCATACATATTTTATTTTTTTTATTTGTATAATAACCTTTTGATTAAATTACAAGAGAATGACAAGAGTCTCATTTCGTCAATATTACTTTATCAAATTGCATCGGTTGCTATAGTTACTAGATAGTAAAATTAATATCGTAATTAATGAAACAAACGATTGATTAAAAAAAAAAAGTCTAATACAAGGAATTTTTTAGTATAATAAAAAAAGTAGTCAAATGTTAGTCTTTAAAAGTCAAGGAATCTCAAAAAAAAAAAAAAAAAAAAAAAAAAAAAATCTTTCAAATGCAATAAAAAAGAACTTAACTTGATCATGCAAAAAAATAATAAATATCAAACTCATTAAAAACTATTAAATGAGTTTATTATTAGATAAAAACTATAAAAAAATTTCTATCTAAAAATTTATCAATTTATTTTTTAAATATCTCAAAACTAAAAATAAAAAAATTTCTTACCAAAAGACCGAATAATTAAATAGTGTTAAGTTAAAGGTTAATTATTAGGTGTTTTGAGTGAAAAAAAATTATTTTGAGTTTGAGAGATTTAAGAATAAATTAATAGGTTTCTTGGATATAAGATTTTTTTAGACAATTTTTCTAGTAATTATCCCAAATAAATATGTGTAAGTGAATAATCAGTCAATTATGAAAAATCCATTTTAGAATACTTTTCATCTAAGTTTATCTATTTCATCTATTAAATTGTGTATTTTGAGTTGAATCGGATTAGATAAGTCAGATAAATCTTCAAACAAGTATAAAATTAAGTGTAAATGGACCAAAAAAGAAAAAAGAAAGAAAAAAGAAACCCCCAAAGACATGCCTGTACAGCCCGTAACTATGTATAAAAGCGTGAACTTCTTTTTTTAAAAAAAACAAGAGAGACCATTAAACTTTTAATACAATAATAACGTTATAACATATCTCCAACAATAATATACAAATTGATTAACTATTATACCCTTAATATAATACTTACTGTAGCATATCTCCACTAATAATATATAAACTCCAATACACCTCTAATTAAAGAAAAAAAATTGAATAGAATTTTAATTTTTTGTTTAAATCTAAAAGTAGGTTAATCCAGTTTTCCATTTTTTCCTATTTATTAACCATATAAATCCTAAATTACATAAACTAAAATTTTTAAATCACTTCTAACCTATATAATATATTATTAGTACTTTATTTTGCATATGAAAACTCTAAAAATACTTACAAAAAAGGCCAAAGAACCCAATAATATTAAAATATAAAAATAATAAAACAACATCAAAACTCATCAAATAATTAATTGGATTCTTATTTTTTATATGATTTTTTTTATTATCTTATATTACTTTTCATTTCTTTAGACAAAATGATTAACAAAAATTTTATTATTTATTTTGACAAATTCTTCTAATTAAAAAAAAAATAACGATTCATAAAATTTTATTTACTCCTATACAGTTAAGTACTAATCACATCAAATATAATAAAAACAACTCTTTAAAATAAAAAAATTCATTATAATATCATATTGTCCTACTAATAGTTAGTGCGTAGGTTTTTATTCAAATAATAAACTTTAAGTGTTTATATAATATAAATAGATTTTATTTGAATATACGACTCCTTTCAACAAAAATAATTTAAAAAGATTATAGTAATGATAGTAATTAATTATGTTAGAAAAATATAAAGCAATTTCGTAATAGTAAAAACTTAAATATTAGCTTTAGACATTTAATGATTTATAAAATTTTATTTCTCAAATTATTTGCCTCATTGTTCAACTATATATATTTATTAAAAATATATCATATAAATAAAAATAAAAATTTAATATTAGAATATTTATACTCATATTTGTATTCTAATAATTTTTTATATTTATATTTGCTTATAGTTTTTATTTCAATACAATCGAAATTCATTTATATAATTTAGAAATGATCAAACAAACTGATATAATTACAAATTATCAGGTGTTATGTAAAATCATTCACATTAAAAAAAAAAAACCAAACATTTTAATTTAATAATATCTGAAAATATTTATTTATAAATAATTCAAAATAATGTATTAAAAACTATATAAAAAAAATATGGTAAAATAGTCGAGTAATTAACGTGCAGAGCAGGTGACAACGACCTATTACGAATAAATGGCTAGGAAACCAGTTACATCTATAACGGTAATTTGACGACATGACCCTTCCCGCCCTCACATCCACCACCATAACGACCACCGCTCTTCCTCACCATCCCAACACCAAACAGCCACCGTACACTACCCATCATCAAGACCAAACCCAATCCCTTAACCGCGATTTTAAAAGACCCAATCTTTCCCTTAAACAAATATCCAATAAATCCTCAATTGACCCCGTCGTTTCATGGACCTCTTCAATTTCCCGCCAGTGCCGCAATGGCCAGTTGCACCAAGCCGCTTCGCAGCTCACTCAAATGCGTCTCCTAGAAATCAGCCCCAATCATGTCACATTCATCACTCTTCTATCCTGTTGTGCAGATTTTCCATCACAAGGAAAATCTTTTGGCCCTTTACTTCATGCGTACGTGCGAAAACTGGGCTTCGATACGTGTAATTTGATGGTGGGTACAGCGCTTGTTGACATGTACGCTAAGTGTGGTCATGTGGACTTGGCTAGTGTGTGTTTTGATGAGCTAAAAGAGAAGAATTCGGTTTCTTGGAATACAATGATTGATGGGTTTATGAGGAATGGAAAGATAAGGGAGGCGATTAAGCTGTTTGATGAAATGCCTGAGAGAGGTGTGATCTCTTGGACTGTATTGATTGATGGGTTTGTTAAAAAGGGTCATTTTGAGGAAGCACTTAAGTGTTTTAGAAAAATGCAGGTTTCTAAAGTAGAGCCTGATCGTGTGACCATTGTTACAGTTCTGTCTGCGTGTGCTAATTTGGGTGCCCTCGGTTTAGGCTTGTGGGCACATCGATATGCTTTGAAAAAAGGGTTCAGGAGCGATGTTAAGATAAGTAATTCTTTGATTGACATGTATTCTCGATGCGGGTCTGCTGAATTAGCTCGTCAAGTGTTCGAGAAAATGGGTGAGAGAACTTTGGTTTCTTGGAATTCGATTATTGGGGGTTTAGCTGCTAATGGGTTTACTGAGGAAGCTCTGGAGCATTTTGATTTGATGCAGAAACAAGGGTTGAAGCCAAATGGTGTCAGTTTCACTGGAGCGCTAACTGCTTGCAGCCATGCAGGTTTGGTTGATGAAGGACTGAAATACTTTGATATCATGGAGAGAGTGCACAAAATTTCTCCTAGAATTGAGCATTATGGGTGCATAGTGGATCTTTTCAGCCGAGCAGGAAGGTTAGAAGATGCAATGGATGTAATAGAAAACATGCCCATGAAGCCAAATGAAGTTGTTGTGGGGTCGTTATTGGCTGCCTGTAGGATTTATGGTGATGTTAAGTTGGCTGAAAGGTTAATGAACCATCTTGTCGATTTGGATCCTGGAGCTGATTCCAATTATGTACTTCTCTCCAACATATATGCAGCAGTTGGAAGGTGGGATGGTGCATGCAAGCAGAGAATGGCAATGAAGGCCCTTGGTATACAGAAGAAGCCAGGGTTTAGTTCAATTGAGATTGGATGTGACATTCACGAGTTTGTGGCTGGTGATAAATCTCATAACGAAGCAGAGCATATATATTCGATGTTAGAGCTTCTTTGTTTTGATCTAACATCATGTGGGTATGTTCCTCAAGCCATCGCTAAGTACCAGGAAATGGCTGAAGCTTGTTAGCAGCAAGAGAAAACAAATCATGTAATTCTCAATTGCTACTGATCAAGCTAGAAAATCAATTCATTTATGTTACCATCTCAAATGTCAAGATGGAAAAGAATGCACATTACCATCTGCTTTTGTAATAGAATGACATACAACTTGGTTGTGATGATCAAATTGATCTTGACCTGGAGTCTCACAAATATAAGAGCCACGCAGAGAGAAAGAAGAAGAGTAGAAAAAGAGTCAGCAACTTTTGTCATTCAAATACATCAATGTCTGTGGGGAGTCTGCCTATTTGAGAAAGAGGAAAATCAAGATAGTCAATGGAGAAAACGAAGTGGTCAAAGACCATTCAATTTCTTTTAATGACTCTGGTATCCTAGCCTCCAACACTAGGAGATGCAAGGAAATTGAAGAACAATGGTATGATGATTCTGAATAGGGGTTTTTTTTTTTTTTTGGCATCAGTAGATGAGGAAGCCCAAAAAAACTTGGGAAGTAGGTGAGTGTATAGATCTCTTTAAGGAGTATGATAGGGAAGTGATGTTAGAAAGTTTAGGAAGCAGATCATTGGAGTAAGAAAGGAGTGGGCTACATCAAGAGTGACTAATTGATTGTCATAGGTGAGCTGTTTCATAAGTTACGGATGGTGATACTGAAGTTACATTTTGAATTGTGCGTGATGATCTTTTGAGCTTGTCTTTGCAATTTGTCTTCTTGATTTCTGATTCGGGAGTGGTGATTTTTCGAGTGCCATTAAATTGTGGGTAGGAGAAATCTTGTTTTGGTTTGTGGTTGTATTTTCTTGCCGGGGTGTGGTTTCTAGGTTGATGATCAAATTGTTTTAACCTTTGCATAGAAGGTCTTGCTTCTTCAAAGGCAGAGGTGTTGCCAATATGCTGATGGATGGGTTTAGTGTCTGCAATAAAATATTGATTCTCTGTGAAGCATTTAAAGTAGTAATTTTTGTCCACGCCAGGAGAAATGGGATCCTAGTTTCCGATTCGATGGATAAACAAGCTTTTGGTGAGATAGATATGGTGGCAAGGCTGTGTTTTGGGGACATTGATTATAGTTACTATACTATTCTCATCAGAGAGTGAGCTGGCGCCATTGGATAGTATACTTGGATCTAGAATCATAAATGGTTCTTTGTTGTGCATGTTTTATGTTGGATTTCGTGCTTCAGCATACATGAAGGTACTCTGCTGCTTTTTGACTATTGGTGATTCCCCAGATAATGATGCTAGCGTTCCTGGTCTGCAAAATCCATGGTCCTTGCTGAATCTTGTTTATGGTACCTTATGGAACCTGATTCTGTTTTGATATTGGGAAGTCCTTTGCTGGTGGGTAATACTGGTTACTGCATATTAATTCAGTTCAATGTTTGGTCTAACCTTGATCATGGTTATATGGACTCATTATGATATTTTGCACCCTTTTGGGTTGGTGGGTCTTTCCCTGTTCTTGTGGTTTGGGTGTAGGCTTTGTTGCTTGTTCTGAGGTCTTGTGATAGCCATCTCCTTGATGGGAAGAACATCACGAGCTTCAGATTCTTAGCAATGGGCATAATGTCTCGTGCTTCAATATGCCTCTCTCTTTACAACCCTAACACTAACCATTACAGAAGATTCCTTCAAATCTGCATGCTGCAGATCGTAACATGTACGGATCGGGGGTATCTGGAATGTAAGGGGGAAGTATATAACGAGGAAAAAAGAAAAGAAAGAAAACTTCAAATTTTTTATTTCTCCGAAAACATGGTATACATGATCAAACCAAGGGCCTTTCAGTCTGTTACGACTCATGCTAAGTTCAGAGAAGTTCAAAAAAAGCATTCAGCCAACTAATTAGTTCCTCTCTTAAAGAACACTCCACCTAAAAACCATCAGGCCATTACAAAAACAATGAACAGAGCACTATTTAGCAGCAGAAATAAGGGGGAAGTTGTAGAATTTAGGACACAAAAGTTGAGCCAAACCAGAATTCTTAAGTAATTATCCATAGAGAATCTGGCAACCATTAGCTTGAATGCATGAAACCCCTGTCTTATTATTATTATTTTTTTTTAAAGAAAAATAGGTCAAAATAGGTCAGATGAAAAGAGAGACTAATTGATGGCAGGGTGATAAATGACACCACTAGTTCCAAAATTTTGGATGTACAATATTTTTCTCCTGCTAATTAACTGGGCTATTCTTGATTAGAGCAAACAATTTTTTTCTTTATTTTCCAATTGCTAATTTACACAAGAAATAACTAGGCACTTCTGTTTAGTCTCTACTCCTTTTTTTATCAAGATTTCAAATTTAACTAAAATAATAGCTCATCTTACAAAAAACATAAGAGAGTCCCACTAAGAGAAAAAACCCGATTTTTTTTTTTTAGTGCGGATGTCTTCGTAAAAATTATAAAAACAAACTTGCAGCTTGTGTTCTGTTTATGTTTCATTTTCATAGTTGTAGAGGGATCAAACCCTTTTCATATTACTAATTACTGCCTCATCTTTTCACTAGTCATGAAACTAATGACAATTTTGTTTTTTAATATAGTTAAAGGAGTGTACAAAGTGATTACTACATATGTTCATGTGCCTCAACGGCCCTTCCCCACCTGAGGCTCACGCCATCAATGCAAAATCATTTCTAGGCAGTAGGTTTTGACAGTAAGTTCGCTGTGTCTTTTTTGTAATCTTTTGGCGTTATTTTCTCTTGAAGTGTCTCCTGAACTGTGGTTTGAAATGAAAGGAACGATTTCACCGCTGTCATATATATATATATATATCCAAGAGCATGTAGTATTATCGTCATCACTCGCAATCTCCACTATGATTAGATGGATTTGGTATAGAAGCTCGAGGTTAGTTATTGCAGGACGTATTTGGAACCACCCATAAAGGACTACAACTACGGTTGATTCTATTCCATTCCTATCACACTCAGGAAATGTGCTATAGCCTGTGACCTACAAATAGTCACGCTTCAGTCTTGACTTTAGCACTGCAGTCCGAACGTAGCCCCTAAACAATCACATCTACTACAGTACTGACGTGATTTCCAGCTGTTCCCTTTTTTTTTTTTTTTTGAACTCAATGGGGGCTAAAAAAATCACATCTACGCTTTCTTTTTGCATGTCAAACCTTATGTCAGTCTGAGGAGATTTCAAGCTGTACAAAAATCAGGTTCGAGGATCAAACTCCTGGATGGAGATACATAAATATACTTTTTCAAGGTTTACATATACGTAAATAACTTAAAAATTATACAATCCACAAGTCTTTTAGTGTCCTTGAAGTAAGGATCAAATAGAAGACAAGTATTTGTCTGGTAAAACACATTAAAAGAAAAGGATCTTAAATGCACAAGTTCAAAACATATTTGCATAGCATAGGAGTTCATAACAATATAAACGGCGCGAGCCAGAAGGCATTTGATCACCCTCCCAGGCAACAAAACACATGTAAAAGTAAAACATCTTCTTTGAGGATAGACAAAAGGCTGCATCAATTAGTCAAAAGATACAGCAGATGCAAAACATCCCCTATTGTTGGTCTGAACCTAATTAATTACTAATCTTAAGTTAAAAGTTTTTGCTTGGTGCAGTCATGGAGTTCTAGGCTTCTTGGGGCTCCCACCATTATGATGCAATGGATCTGGGCCAGAAGGAACTGCCCTCAACTCTCTAATCTCCAACTTCTCTCCATTCCCAGGGCTGCCTGTTGGTCCAAACAAATCACCCTTCAAAGCAACCAACACCTGAGCATATGGAAAGTAAACGATAACGTAGTTAGCTCAACAACGATACTCATAAATGAGAGAAAATCAAACATAAGTTACAAAGGAAGAATAACATGGGAAAAAAAAAAGCAAAGTAAACCCAACCTTCCTGCTTCTAACATCCATAAGAGATTCTCCACTTGCATTAAAGCACTTCGGCCCAGTACTGCATCCTGTTAAACGGGCAAGGAAAAAAAGTTTTAAGCTGCATGCCGAAGATTGGACTCAAGCATTACTTTCACTTAACAAGCTTCGTATCAAACAAAACATGCAGAGAGAGAGAGAGCGAGAGAGAGAGGGAGAGAGATTCAGACCAGATGATTCTTCCAAGACCATGAAGAACAAGACTAGTAAGAACATGAACGAGTAAAACTTGTAACTCGATGCCATTTCAGTGGAAACCTAAGAAAATGTAAGAGAGGAAACCTCAGAGAAAACCCAAAAAGAGTGAGTCCGCAGGGTGACAGAGAGGAATAAGTGTTTAGATATATGTGCAGCAAAAGAGCGGAGAGTGAAACCCAATTTATAGAGTAGCAAAACAAGAAGGTTTTCAAATAGAAACGGATAGCAAATGATTGTTCATGCAGCCATTTTTGGAGAAATTATTAGAAGACACAGCAAGATCCTCTCCCTATATATTCCATGATGGACATTCGTCTGACGGCGCCGTCTTCAGTAGGCGTCATTAGCAACGTCATTCACTCTGCTTGCTACCTGCCAGAGTAATAAATTAAGGAATATTGACATCCTTGCTCATACCTGTTAATTACTACTGCTATTATTAATTTCGTTCGTGACAAAAGGGTAAAACAAAAATCATCCTGTATGTGGGATAATTAACACAGACCCCATTTATATAATTTTTCTTTAGTTCTCAGTGTTATTCCTTGCATTTGTAGGTGAAGGATGAGTACTGCTTCTTTGTATGGTAACTTTAGGATGGTTTTAGTTTTGGCCAAGTACATATATGTTTGATATGGCTAAAGGAGTAGGGTAATTTTTACCCATTTTACTTGTGTTTGGAATACTTTGGGAGAGAGGAGGAATTTTACGAACTGTAACATTTTATCTCAAAAATAGGTTACATGTTAACCTTATGATGGGAGAAATTTTTTTATTTTTGTACATTTCCATCCTTTTAAAAAATTTACTACTATTTTCTTCTTTTTATATTTCACTTTTCAATTTTTATACCATATTATTTATTTTTCTTATAATTGATTTATATTGGGATTCGTTAATGAGAAATTTTATAATACACAAATAATTAGCAACATGTATAGTAATTACTTCATGGATCCACTTTTATGAGAGAGATAGACACATTAAATTATATTTGGACCCACAAAAAATGATAAGAAGATTTCTACATTCGTTCAATTTTTTTTAAATTTTCTCTCTCTTATTTCTATCTCTTTTTTTTGTGTTTTTTATTGTCTCAATCCTGTCACTAATTACTCATTTTGTATTATAAAATTTCTCATCATAATGTGGTATTAATAGCATAAAAACGTTGATGAAATATTATTTAAGTGAGGAACCGGCAATTATGATATTGATATTAAGTGATGACATACTAAATTAGTAATAACGTGGCACTAATGACGTGGAAAAATAATTTTCGAGGGAAATTTTCCTTTATTTATTTATTTATTAATTTATCAAAATATATAAAATGTACGTACTTTTAGCAATGTAAAAACATTAAAATTATTTTCTTCTTATATTTTCATATTTAGTTAATGTTATAAATTTATTTTTCATTATAAATCTAATATAAAATATTCCTCTTTTTTAATCAATAAGTATATCCTTTTCATGATAATTTTAATTTGAATGAAATAAAAAATATATATTTTTAGTTGGATTACCACAAATACAAAATAAAATAATTAAAAAAATTAAGATTACTATTATAAATTATGGTTTCTATTTTTTATTAAAAAATGGAAATGTTCTTCTATTTCTTTCTTTTTTATAACTTTTTTGAAAAATATAAAATACAATAATAATATTTTTTTAAGGTTAGAGATGAAGACATCTGCTGAGTTATTAGGTTAGGTTACTTTTATTTGCATTTTATATTTTCTCAAAAAACGTTAAAAAAAGAATGGAGGGAAATTTCTCTCATAAGTCTCCTTAAGTGTCATTAGTGCCACATCATTACTAATTTGTCACATCATCACTTAATATTCATTTCATATTTTCACCTCATCACTTAAATGACACTTCATACATCAATATATTCTAAGTTATACATGCTTCTTCTTCAAAGTTCTTTTAATTTTTTTAGTTTTGAGAGTATACATATATTTAAAAAATAAAAAATAAACTTTAACACACTTAATTGTAAAAAGAGAAAACTACAATTTAAGTGTCTAATTTTTGAATTTTTTTCCTATTTGAATACTCAACCAATAAATCTTTCTATTTGAATGCTCAAATTTTGATTATTATATATTTTTTAATAGTCACAATCATTTGATATTGAACAATATTGATGCGTTTGAAATAAGCAATTATATGATAATTTTTAACTCAACATGATAAAAGGTAAATTTCATTCGAATTATTTTTAAAAAATTGATTTTTTTTTAAAAAAAACTACAATATGAGTGTGTAATATTACATTATTTTTTTTTAATTTGAGTGTTTTATGTTTGATTTTTTTTTATTCAAAATTTTTTTTGAGAAAATTACAATTTATTCCGACACTCAAACAGAAAAAAAAATCAAAATTAAAAAATTTAAATAAAAAAACTTTACCAATTGATCACTCAAATTAAAAAAAAAATTAAAAACTTGAACATTCAGTTCACAATTTTTTCTTATAAAAATTATTAAAATATACGCACTTATTTTGTTATTATCTCAATCTTTTAACCCGTTGATTGAACAAGTAGTTCTATAGATCAATAACTTGATCGGACGGTTATCGAAGTTGGTTTTCATAATATTAGTTCCAGCTTTTCGATTAAGTTGTTTTGGAAAATAGCTAGCATATGAATAAAAACCGTTTAGAAAGCAAGATGTTTAAAAAAGGCACTACGTACGTACTATAAGATCATGTTTTTGGATTTTTTTTCCCAAAAACAGGGTAGAAAATGCCTTGATTAATAATCATGGATTGGTGACATGTAAACTACGTATGAAAAGAGCTCAGGAGATTTTGGCAGCAGCAGTTGAACTTTGGTTTAACGTGATGACATAATTTCTACTAGAAGTCAATCTATCAGGAAGGGAACCAGGGACTGATTGATGGGACCTTCCACTTTCTCTTGCTTTTATTAGATTCTATTAAAGTAGAAGAAGATTCTGTTGCTGCGTCCCACTCTCTTTCTGTACTTGATTAGGACATTTTGGGACTCCTGCATCAATCCGTAAACAAAGATTGTGAGTTAATCCATGTTTAAAGACGCCAACGCTTTTAAAAATTTTTGATTCACTATTATATTTTTAATACAATACTAATATCATACTATACTGTTAATATCAATAAATAAATTCAACCCTTTCACTGTTAAAGAAAAAAATCAATATTGATAAAATTCTTTAAAAGAAAATGATTAATTCCTAAACATGAATCCTAAAATATAGGTTAATTAATTTTTTTAATTGTCTTATTTATACTTCTGACAAAAATATAAATAACATAAAATAAACTATTTAAATAACTACTAAACGGTATAGTAATATATTGGCACTTTATTTTGAACACCCCAGCTTTTAAAAGACTAAAAAAGAAGCTAATAAAAACCTTTAAGCATTAAAATCTAAAAAATAATTAAAATTACATCAATTACTTGAAATTATTAAATTTAATTCTTATTTTACCTTTTATTCGTTATTTTTTATTATTGACTTATGTTATTTTTTATTCTTTTGAATAAATATTAAAAATATTAACAAAGGTAAGATTTATTAAAAAATTATAAAACTTTTATTCATGTATATATGTATTGTTAATTGATATTCATGCCACATATATAATTTAAAGAAAAGTTTAAAATAAAAATGTTCCTAATAATGTAAATTTGATTAAATATTTTCTAGCAGGTATTATTTTTAAGAGTTATATATATTATCCTCACTATTAACTATTAATTATTTTGACTATCAAGATCTAAAATAGCTTATAAACAAGACAACGAAAAGCATAGAATAATAAAATTAAAAAAATAATTACATCACCTCAAAATTCATCAAGTTATTAAATTAATTTTAAATTATTTTATACGGTTCAATAATTAAGCAAATTAATTATAACTATCAAAATTTACGTAAATTGTTTGAAAATCATGTTTATCTAATAATGATTTAAATTTATTCATTTATAAATAATTCTAAACAATCTATTAGAAATTTTTAAAAAAATTATAAATAAGTTAAATAATACACATGCAAAGCACGTGCCAAGAACTATTAACATAATAAGCATGCACATTATGAATCTTTACAATCGAGAATGTCAAAATTTATATTTTTCAAATAGATGCGTGGATTCTCAAAATTGTAACAATCGAATGAAATTTAAAGAGATGACTTGATGATTTGAAAACTTTAAGGATGCATCATATTGGTAATGTGGTGGCATACATGGTATGGATACAGAGAGATTATGTGACTTGATGATTAGGAAAAATACTTTTAGAGGAAAATTTTCCTTTTTTTTATATATATCTTTCTCAATAAAATATAAAAAGATAATTAAAAAATTAACTAAGAGAAAAACTTTAAAAAGCTTATAAAATAGAAAATAAATAAATAATCTAGAAAAAGAAAAAACTACGACATATAGCATAGTGAGTAAAACTATATTTTTATGGAAACAATATAAAATTTTCAAGACATCGGGTTTTCCAAGTTTTTCATTTTCTTTCTTTTGATGACATATTCTATTTTTTCAATAGCTTTCAAGATTTTATATTTTTAAAAAATAAAAAACTAATTAATTAGAAAGAGCTAGCAAAGAAAATAATGATATACACACACTAACAATTGGAATATTGGAAATAGAATACAACAAAAGGAAAAAAAAAAAAACATAATACTTGGTTACTTCCATTCATTACAAGTTTCATGACTTTGTCGAGCAAGAAACAAAGCGTGGATATTGACTCTATTAAAATATATGTGTCCATTATTATGCAATCCAAAATTTTATGTTGGACAAAATCCATCCTCAATTCAATCTATTTGTTATGTAGTTATGATCCATGAAACAAAATATTAATTAGTATATAATAAAATTAACTAATTAATTTTTATAAACAAAGTAAATATATGTGTGTGTGTGTGTGTGTGTGTGTGTGTGTGTTCATTCTTATGCCATCCAAAATTTTATGTTGGACAAAATCCATCCTCAATTCAATCTATTTGTTATGTAGTTTTGATCTATAAAAAAAAATTAATTAGTACATAATAAAATTAACTAATTAATTTTTATAAACAAAGTGAATATATATACACACACGTAACAATTTTCGTAACTTATTAGCTAATTTTTAATAGAAACGAGCAAAAAACAAAATGATTTTGTAATAACTTTAACAAAAAAAAAAAAAATGGAATGGGAAGGTTTTGTGAGAGAACATGAGAAGCATTGAAAATTCAAGCTAAAATGAACACATCCTCCTTAAACATGTAATTCCTCAATTTTTTATATTACTCATTTATTGTTTGTCTATTTAATATGGAATTGCTTCTTTAACAAACTCGATCTCAATTATTTAATTTATTATAATATTAGAATCTTAAAGCATCTAATAGTCCAATAAAAATCATAAAGTTCAAATCACTTAACATACCCTAAAATATGAGTCGTATGTGAGAGATGAGTTATAAAACATATCTCACATCGAATAAATATAAATAATAAATAAGTAACATAAAAAAAAATTAAAAAAAACCATTCAACATAAATTTTAAATCTTTCGAGTAAAACTCAATCTCATTTATTTAACTTAATATTTATTAATTGATCATGTTAGGAAATGAATTAAACAAAAGAATAGAGTTGAAAGACAATAATAATCATACAACACGAGAGATTTACATGGTTCGATAATTATGCCTAATCCAAAGCTGCACTAGGATTTCTAATTAAGTTCGGCAATTATGTCTATCTAAGACTGCATTATGATTTTTTATCAAGTTTTATCTAGGTACGACTTATAAATATAAGTGATGTCTCTATTTATAGTGAGGATGATTAGCGAAAGTGTTGTGTGTATAGCACCCTATACTTAAGGCCAATGCATATTGATCTCCACAACTTATTAGATTCCTCTTTCCTCTTCTTTTTTCTTCAGAATTGATCAAACATGAACACTCTACTATAGTTATAATCACTCAACCGAGCATTGATCTGTTTTTGAAGTTAAGTGTCTTGGTTTTGAAAATTTTAATTCTTCTTTTGATTTGATTTTAGGACTAAGGGTTTTTTAAGGAGAGAGTTTTAGTTTTGGATCTTTTAATTCTTCTTTCAATTTGATTTGATTTTATCACCAACAATCGTATTTATTTAGTTACTAACATGTCGTCATATATTTTATATGGGAATACACCGAAGGGAAGGACAATTTTTTTAAAAAAATAAAAAATTCAAAACTAATAATGACTATTAGCTGCTAGTAGGGTGTGCCTCAATAATGAATACCGAAGTTAAGACAAGCCTTTCTATTTGATTAATTCGAGTGTTAGAAAAAAAAAACATTTGTATAACCAAAATCACAAGCTATAAATCTCAAATCCTTTTTTTTTTTTGTGCAATTAAAAAATTAAGATCAACCAATCAATGGAAAAAAAATTTACAAGACACAAATTTTATGTAAAAATCCAAGTGTGGGAAAAATTTACACGATTATAATCCACTTAAATCTTCCACTATATTAAATAATGAGATATAAGATTCTTCTCTAGCTCAATTAGAAAATACACATCAAAACATCAAAGTCATTTATTTCAAAGATGGATTGAAAAAGGAAGAAGAAAAAGAAGAAAAAGTTAGATCTCACCAAATAGGTTTTTATAAATACCTAAAGATGAAAGTTTCTCAATGATCAATACCATCCAAATTAAAGAATTTTTAGTTGAAATAATATATCAAAATTTCATATTGATTGGATCTAAAATCATTATTCGATCAAGACAATGTAGATGAATAATAGGGTCTTCAATGATATTAGGTTAGTTTGTGATCGGATTTTTTCTTTGGTTTTTCAACAAGTAGCTTAATGAGCAAAGTTTGTTGATGATCATTTTATCTATATAGATAGTTATCTTGAATGATGCTCAAATTATATTAAGATGTGAACTAATCATCTAAAACATCGATAAGCTATCCTTTGGTCTAATTCTTATCTAAGTTCTTTGAAATGGAATAATAATGATTCGTCTTTGGACAATCTTGAAATTTTTCGTATTGGAGGAGTGTTAAGAAATCATAAAAAAAATTTCTTGTGTATTTTTTCCTATCTTAATTAGGATGAAACAATCAAATGAGGCTATGTTATAGTCATCAATAAGGCTTTGGAGATCATTGTTGCTTTTGTCTATACTTAATTAGTAGGTGAATTGGATTATTAAATGAGACTTGGCTAATGCTACTCGTGATGGGTAAGAAAGTTTCTACTAGACTTTGGCATTTTTTGAGTATTTTTAACTCTATCAATGCTTTGATTAAGTTTTTGGATTCTATTTCTTTCAGTCACATTCTTTCATAAGAGAATACAATGGTAGATTTTTTAGCTAACTAGAGTAGTATTCGTAAAGACAATGACCAACTTGCTTGACTATAGTCCCATTTTCTCTAGATTTGTTTTAGTATTTTTCTTGTATTTCTTAACCTTGAAATTTTTTCAGTTGTTAGCTATTTGTATTCTATTTAATCTAATCTCAATTTTTATCGAATAAAAAGCCTTCGAATGATAAACTTTTCATTTCCCACTTAAAAAAAAACTTAATCTTTTTGATAGTTTTAATAGTGTTTTATAATGACTTTTCTCATTTTGTATTTTGGAGAGTATGTATTATATAAATAAACTCTAATTGAATAATGTTTAATCAAAATTAACCATACTACATGGATAAGTAGTGTCTAGTTTTATAATTAAAAAGGAGAAAGTCTCTTATGCCCATATGCACATACACTCGCCTAGTCGTTGAATGAGTTGAAAGATCCTTCTTAGTGACATTAAGAAGTGCATTGAATGACTAGCACATTATTTTTATAAAAATGTATCATGAAGCAAAATAACGTATTTATTTTTTAGCTTGAGAGTTGTGTAAATTTAATTTGTAGCTTCAATAAGTCTTGTACAACATATTTTATCTACTCTATGAACATTTATCTAAAAACTAGGGACCCCGATAACAAAAATGAACTCAACCCCAGCCTACTCTTCTTCGTAAGACATAGATCATAACACTTAGTACATAAATTTTAAGATGTTCGGGATCTTTCGTGGCACTAGAATTGTTTACGTATCCAAGATCTCGAAAAAAAACTAGCTTTATTAAGACTCGCCCACGGAAAATGGCCACTTCCCATTTGAGTGGAGTTGTGATGACCCAAAATTCTTAAATTTATAATCTCTCTACCCCACTTTACCGGTGTTGCTCTTCTAGCTAATTAAACTTGTTAGTATAGAGTCACACCAATATCCAATATCAAGACCTTGGGAATGTAGCCACCAATTTCCATCGTGCTTGTTCGAAAGAATGCAAAAATATCACTCTCTGTTGTATTTAAGAGAAGTAGGACAAGATATAAGCAACTATTGTATCTAAAATTTAGGCTAACTAAGCTAACTATATCCTATAATAGAATAGCAAAATATGAAAATATCCATGTATACAAGAATTACATTTAATTTAAAATATTACATAATAAAGACCAAATATTGAATATTAAAACAGAACTATTTTTGTTATTTCTAGCTTTAGTAAGGTTAATAATTCGTCCACCTATTAACTACTTAACTAATTTTGAAACAAAATCTTAAAATTAAAATTAATTGTTGGCCTTTCTTTTTTTATTGTTTTTTATCGATAGAAAATCATCATCAGTCCATAAAAATTAGGAGACTTGACAATTCATCTATCATTTGATTATTTAAATTAATTATGAAATTAAAAGTCTAAAACTAAAATTAATTAAAATTAGCTAAAATAAATTCCATGAAACCTAGAATATTAAAATGTAAATTAGACAAAAAAAATAAACATGCATAAGTGAAATTCAAGACGAATTATCTATATAAAAAATAAATAAATAAAATACAATTAAAAAAATATTAGGCTTTTTTGTAGGTCGTAGGCCCATTGGGCCATGCTGCTTGGGCTAACTTACTTGGATAGGCTAGCCTTTCTCTATTTTTTTCATAAAGGTTGGGCTAGGTTGAAACCAGCCCATGTCGTGACCACATGGGTTAGGCTTAGACTAGCTCATTTGCCTTTCCCACGGGCTTGACTTGTCTAACCCTTTTTTTTTTTTTTCTAAAATGAAACACAAACTAATGGCCACCAAAGAGAAATAAAATGGAATAGGTATTCAACAAGAGGACTCAATTTTTATGTTCGGAGTTTCTTAATGAGCCATAGGCTTCTTCTTCGCATCCCTCTAGAACCATCCGAGAGCATAAGCATTGAAGAGCTTAACAATCTCACCAATTGACATATTAAGAAAGGCATCCAAATCAACACCCTTGAAGTTAAACTTCTTAAAATGTTTTCTTTTTTGACGGTGCTGATGTGATGACCCCTACATCGACATCGGCCATGTTTTACTTTTTAGAGATTGGGAACAATAAAGCACTAGCTAAATGAGATGCCATAAAGGATGTGGCTAGTTAGAGTATGGTCATAGTTTTCGATTGTGATGACCGAGAGGATGCTCGTGATGGCTTGTAATCTAATGAGTTTCGGTTGGTTTGTGGTTGCGGTGGTGTTTGAGGGTTGTGTGGGAAGTAAGTTGGTGTGGGTGATGATGATGGTGGAGCAAGATACATTACCTACGGGTAATAGGGTTATGAAAATAGAAGATGATAATGGTGGTGGATTAGGGAGATATGCTCACCAAATGTTTGGATTTTTACCCATAAGAGGTGTCTAGCTTTGTGATTATTGAGAGGTTAATGGTTTAGCATTGTTTCAATGTCTAGAAGTATGTAGGAGCCGTTGGTGGCTTTGTTGGATGAGATGGTGATTTCGTGGCTTGATTTTTAGTAGGGTGTTTGGTAAGTGTACGTGTGAAGAAGAAAATGATGGATTTTAATGGCGAGTAGGAGGGCTTGTTGAAGGAAGATGGATTCGACATGGGTGGTTTTTGGTGAGGGGTAATCTGTTGGCTAGGTGTTTGTGTTTTTTTCCAATGAAAGAGGCCCAAATGATGATTTTAGGTGAGAATTGTCCGATGGCTAGAACAACTGCTCGTGATTATGAGAGAATGGTTGGATGAAGTCGACCAAGTTGGCTTGGATATTTTTGGTAAGGTGGATGAAACTAGTTTTGGGAGTAGAGTATCATGGTTAAGGGAGGCTAGCTAATTGAAGGTGAAAGCTTGGTCGTGGAGGTCGGATGGCTTGTGTATTTATGTGTGGGTTACGAGGCTTGGTAGATAGATACTAGTATCCGAAATGTCAATTATAAAGAAAATAGAGAGAATATGAACTCAAAACCCTGTCCTCATCTTGTTCCGGTAGTCTCCTTATATACACAAAGTTAAGTCTATGAAAAAGGAAATTACTAAATTACAAAACCTAATTTACTCCCTAAATAATAGCAATTAGCATACTAATTTACAGACGAATATGATTTACATATATAGGCTCTAATAGTTATCACATAATTGTCACCATAATTATTGTGAGTTGTCTAATACTCCCCTTCGAATTGATGCTTTGGAGGATCAAAAAGCGACAATTTGCTTATCAAAAAACGATGTCGATCTCGAGTCATTGCTTTGGTGAAGATATCAACAATTTGTAAATTGGAAGCAATATGTGGAAGAGTGATAAGTTGAGAATCAAAAACTTCTCGAATATAGTGGCAATCTATCTCGATGTGTTTGGTACGCTCGTGATAAATAAGATTTGCCACAATCCGAATAGCACTAGTATTATCCGTATGAAGAGGTGTGGGCCTGGTTTGAGGAAAACCAAGCTCGAAAGAAGGCCTCGAAGCCTTGTAATTTCGGAGCAAGCATGAGACATAACCCTATATTCACCTTCGGTAGAGGACTTAGAGACACGATCTTGTTTCTTGGATTTCCAAGATATCAAGAAATGTCCTAGGAAGAGACACCAACCGAGTAGTAGAACGATGGGTGTTTGGGCAACCACCCCGATCGAGCATCCGTATAGGCGAGCAAGAGATAAGTTACAATCACGAGAAAAGAAAAGGCCTCGATGAATAGTCCCATGCACATATTGAACAATTCGACGAGCAACCACTAAATGTAGATGGCGAGGATGAGACATAAATTGACTAACAACATGAACAGCGTATACAATATCGAGCCTCGTGATGGTTAAATAATTCAAGTTGCCAACTAAACTTCGAAAATGTGTTGAATCATCAAGAAGAGTACCGAGCATCATTTCGTAGCTTAACATTAAGTTCCATTGGTGTCTCAAAAGTACTAGAATGATGAACATTAGCAAGGTCGATCGGATCCCGAGCATACTTTGTTGATTGATAAAATTCCGGAATCGAGTGATGTACCTCAAGACCAAGGAAATATGTCAAGCAACCAAGATCTTTCATCCGAAAAGACTCTCGTAAAGTATTATGAAGGGAATGAATACCGAAACATCACTCTCGGTAATCGGCAAATCATCAACATAAACTAGCGGAAGAGTGATCCCATTCAAAGTCTTGCAAAGAAAAAGAGAAGGATCATAATCACTTTGTCGAAAATTAGCCTAAAGGAGGGTATTTTTAAACTTGACAAACCATGCACGGGAGCCTGTTTCAACCCATACAAAGAGCGACGAAGACGACAAACCGATCCGGAATGAGCATCTTTGAAGCCGGGAGGTGGAGTCATGTACACAATCTCATCAAGGTCACCATGCAAGAAGGTATTTTTTACATCCATTTGGGAAATGGTCCATTATTGAGATGCGAAATGGCTAAGACTCGTGCGAATTGTAGTCATTTTTGCCACGGGAGCAAATGTTTCTTCATAATCAATCCCATACTTTTGACGATTACCCAAAGCTACCAATCGAGCCTTGTAATGATCTAAAGATCCATCCGCCTTCAGTTTAACATTATATAGCCATTTACGACCAATGGGCTTAACATTCGACGGGCAAGGTACAAGATCCCAAGTATGATTCTCCATCAAAGTATCTAATTCCACATCCATAGCTTTCTGCTAACAAGAGTGACCTACGACTCGCTTAAAAGAGTGAGGAATAAAGGTAGTACTTAAAAGAGCAAAGGAAGAAGAAGGAGAGTACCGATCGGGAGGACGACTCTCACGAGTAGAACGATGAAGAGGAACCGGATCCGGAGGTGAAGAAGAATCATCGATCGGGACGGAATAAATTTCGATATGTGGTCCGCGTTGATAAACAAGTCCCGATTTGAAACGCTAAGTTGAAGAACTAGTTGAAGACTCAAATGATGGTAAAAGAGAATAAGAAGAAGAAACTGAATTTTTAGAAAGATTATGTTGATAAAAGAAATTATTTTCACAAAATATGACATTATGAGAAATCTGAATTCGCTTTTTAAATGGATCATAATACACAAAACCTTTTTGCCCTAATGCATATCCTAAGAAAACACATTTAACGGACTAAGCGAGAAAATTTATTCCTCTCATGAGGAGGTAGATAAACATAACATTCACAACCAAAAGTATGTAGTAATTTATAGTCCGGATGTTTTTTGAACAATTTAAAATATGGAGAATCATTGCCTAATGTGAAAGAAGTTTGACGGTTAATGAGGTAAATAGTAGTACGAACAGTTTCAACCCAAAATTGAGTTGGAACCGAAGAATCAAGAAATAAAGTACGAACAACCTCTAAAATATGACGATTTTTCCTTTCAGCAACCCCGTTCGTTGGGGTGTATAAGGACAAGACTTTTCATGCACAATGTGTTTTGAGCGAAGGAAATTTTGAAAATCGGTAGACGTGTACTCTCCTCCGAATCGGACCGAAGTCTTTTAATGCATTGAGAGAATTGATTTTCAATAAGAGCTACAAATTGTTGAAAAACATTAAAAACTTTAGATTTATAACGTAAGAAATAAACCCAAGTAAAACGACTATGATTATCAATAAAAGTTACAAAATATTTGTAACCGAGCATAAGATACACAAGGAGCAATTCCCCACACATCGAATGAATGAGATCAAAACAAATTGTTGTATCATTAGAGTGTAATGGAAAAGGAAGAACTTTACCTTTACCTAAGGCACAACTAGAACAAAAACTTTATACATCTTTTTCGAAACATGAATTTTATTAGAAAGTAAACCGGAATTGATCATAGATAACAATCTTGTCGAATTAGGATGTCCCAAACGACGATGCCACAAGGCATATAATTCTTGTTTATTGGAAGCGGATACATGATAGATGAAAAGGCAAAAGTAGAACAAGAAGGTATGGGTGAATATTCGGGCTACAATCGGAGGTTGAAAAGATGACCTTTTTTATGTCCCTTCCCGATGAGCTTCTTCGTTCCCGGATCCTGTATAACACAACCAAAAGGAGAGAAAAGAACTACCTAATTATTTTCAACAAGTTGACCAACGGAAAGTAAATTTTCAGTCAAATCGAGAACAAGGTAGACATCATTAGACGTAAGAGAATCGAGTTTGAATGGTTCCTATGCCGGAAATAGAAAGATTTTGACCATCGATAGTGCAAATCTGGTTAGGGCCATGATAAGAATTGATGTTTTTCAAGTTTTGAGATGCCCAAGTCATGTGATTTGATGCACCGTAGTTTAAATACCAAAGAAAAGGAGATTTTTTACCCGAGAACCCTATGGCGGAAAAAGCAGATTGGATCATTTGATGCATTAGTTCAAGAGTAAGTGAGGAAGAAGCGGAACCTATATCGACAGAGGCTACGGATGGAGGAGGAACCGTATGCTCGTTGTGGAGGAGAGACATGCGCATGGTATGCTTTGGGACGATTTTGAGGACGTTGAAGACATTCCCCAATATGGTGTCCCGGCTTCTTGCAATAGTTACATACCTTGTTTTTACATTGACTAGCATAGTGGCCATATTCTCTACATGAATAGCACTTGGATCTTACTAATATCACGAGGCTTTGCTCTACCTTGCGCTGAAAATGCCACTTCAATGGGATTAGAGACTTGTGGGGTGGCATGAGCTGCATAGGCCATATCGGAATGGCCAAGAACCTTTCGTTGCTCCATTTGAGTCAATGACTTTAGGCGTTGCTCCTCACGAAGAAGTTCTTTAAAACACATATCAAGAGTCGGTGTAAGATGTCTATCCATCAACATAGCACGAATAGGTTCAAACTCATTCCTCAAGTTCATGAGAAATTGATGACGTTTTGATGTCTCATGAAGTTTTTGCACTCGCGAAAGAGCATTTGGAGGAACAATAGTATATATAAGAGATGCATATTCAAGCCATAATGCCACAAAACCGAATAGTAATCTTGAATAGATTTATCGCCTTGGGTATAATCCCGTAAATCTTTTTCAAGTTGAAACTCTCGAGCTGCATCTTCTTGGTGATAAACTCGTTTTTAAATGATTCCACATCTCACATGCGATCGGATAAGGGCGTAAAGTCAAGGCAATATGAGGTGCCATTGAACCCAAAATCCAACCGATGACTCGAGCATTGTTTGACACCCATTTAGCCTCCTCTTTAGGATTAGTGGGGGGTTTATCGGTACCACTAATAAAACCCCATAGTTCTTTTCCTTGAATAAAATTTCAAAGATTAAATTCCCAAAGAAAATAATTTTGACCATCAAAATGTACCGGGATAAATTCTTTATGGTCCGACATATCAAGAGGGGAGAAGGATCCACCAAACAATAACAACAAAAAAAATCAACTATAAAGATAACCACAAAGGAAATAATCAACACCAAACCAGATTTCACACGAAATCAATTCCCACCCCCAAGTTGATTCACACAGAAATCAAGAAAAAAATGCAAAAACTCACCAAAGAATTCACGAAAAAAAATATTTCAAAGAAGAAATATCATGGCTTCGATACGATGTCAATTATAAAGAAAATAGAGAGAATATGAACTCAAAACCCTGTCCTCATCTTGTTCCAGTAGTCTCCTTATATACACAAAGTTAAGTCTATGAAAAAGGAAATTACTAAATTACGTAACCTAATTTACTCCCTAAATAATAGCAATTAGCATACCAATTTACGAGCGAATATGATTTACATATATAGGCTCTAATAGTTGTCACATAGCTGTCGCCATAATTATTGTGAGATGTCTAATATGAAGAAGTTGAGGAACCCCAGAAGATGCTTGTGATGAAGGAGAAACTGGTAGAGGTTGAAGA